CATGAAATTCATCATGATCTCTAACTCAGTGGTGGGCTTGGAGTTGCTATTGACTGAGTTCAAGCTCATCTGGCACCAATGAGGAAGGTTAGGGTACTCATCATCAACCTCTGCCTTGATGATGGTCCACTCCCAGCCCTTGTCAATCAGCTGATGCAAGGGGCTGCCAGGCTGGACAACAATGGTGGCCCCTTGGGGTGATTGAATGCCAGCTGCAACAGCTCTCAGCCACTGAACCATATGGCTGCAACCACAAGTGAGAAACCTCTCACCGCCACCCCAGGCTGCAAGTAGCCCTTGGCTGGAAGCCACCATGGCTTTGTTTGCTTCAACCTGGGCAGCTTTCTTGGCCCCATTGCCAACTTCAATGGCAACACTGTTGGGTGGCAACAGGCTTGCTTTGATGCCAGCCTCAAGGACCTTGCTGCCTTTGTGCCAGCAATCATATGGGTTCACCATGGAGCTGCTTCGGTTTTGTGGGTGGCAACCAAGCACTGCAGGTGTAAGCACAGCATCATATGCAAAGCCATGCTCTTTGAGAGCAACCAGGATCTTGTCCATTCTCACATTGACACCTTCACTGCAATTGGGGTCCAAGTTGGCATCAATCAGCTGCTTCAACTCAGCAGGCAACACCATGGCACCAACAAGAGGCCCTAGGTACAAATGACAGCTGGAAGGTAGCCACACAGCTCTTCCACAGAGGGGATGCACAAGTGCTTGCTGGACAGCTGCATGCATGCACACCTGTGACAGCCTCATGGCTTGCTACAGTCAGCTATGGGTTGCAAAGCATGGCATGAGAGGTGTAAAAAGAATGCATACTGGAAGCAAGCCAACAACAAGTGGAAGGACAAAGCCAACAGTGGCTGGGATATGGGAAGCCAACAATGGCTGGAATGACAGAGCCAACACTGGCTGTGTTGGAGAAAACCAACAATGCATGGAATAGCAAAGCCAACACTGGCTGGGTTGGGGAAAGCCAACAATGGCTAGAATGTAAGAGCCAACACTGGCTGTTTTGGGGAAAGCCAACAATGGCTGCACTGACAAAGCCAACAGTGGCTGGGTTGGTGAAAGCCCACAATGGCTGGAATGGCAGGGCCAACACTGGCTAGATTGGGTGAAGCTAGAAATGGCTGGAATAACAAAGCCAACAGTGGCTAGGTTGGGGCAAGCCAACAATGGCTGGAATGACAGGGTCAACAATGGCTTGTTTTGGGGAAAGCAAGCAATGCCATCACACTACCCACCCAAAGCTTGCCAGTATGGCATGCAAACATGGCTGCATGCAAAGAAAAGTGTGGAAGGCACATGCTCCAAGATGCATGACAATGAAGGAATAAGATGCAGGAGTCCTGGTTGTCACCCTGGTGGTCTCCCCAAGCGCTTTCTTGAGGCTGGTCTTCCTGGTTGACAGCAAGTGGCAGCAACTCAAGCTTGCACATGGAGAGTTGGCTTGCCTCCCACTCCTCCCACTGGCGCCAGTTGGACCAGCCCTGCCAGCTCTCTTGCTTCCATCGTCTCCAGGATTCCTCAGACTGCCAGCTCTCCTGTGCAATGGGGCAAAGCAAGCTGGAAAATGAGGAGTGTGCCAACTGCCTTCTCCTCATCATGCTTGGCCCAATCCTGCCACCAGAAGCTATACAAGCTGTCATTCAGCCTTCAACCTTGCCAGGTCACCTCTTCTTTTGGTGCAGCCCAATCCCAATCCTGCACAAGAAGGTGCAATTGGGTTGCCCCAAACAGCAAGCTTCTGCAAGTGTCAAGCCAAACAGGGGCTGCCTCCCCTCCATAGACAGCTTCTTCACAAGCTTCCTGGCAGAAAATGAAAGATGCAAAGCTGGCCAACCAGAATCAAACAAATGTTCTGCTGCCCTGCCTTGCCCTCTTGGCTAGCCTGGCAGCCAAGTACAACAAATGCCCAACAAGTTCCAGATAAAAAGGTAAGCATTGCAGCCTCATCTTTTGCCACAACCTGCCAGCATTGGTGCAAACAAACCAATCTGCTCAGCCACAAGGCTTGCCTGATACCATTGAACAGGAGAATCCTTGTTAAGCAACCCTCCATGCCCCAAACAAGCCTCAAGGCTAATGAAGGGGAATGTTACACAAGCAAGAATGCAACTCAGCCATGCAAGCCATAAGCACACCTGCACAGAAACCAGTTCCACCCAAACACAAACCTGGCCTGCAGGTAATCTGGTGGCAAGTCTTCTTCTCGCGTCTGAAAAGCAGGGAGGATCACCAACAACTCAAAGTGCTTGAGTCAGGCCCCCACCCTTTTGACAAGGCCCTGGAAGGACATGTCTTCCTCCTGAACACAAGTGGGGGCAATTGCAAGACTGCTGTGTTTGAAGCCCTGCCTCTGCTTCACAAGCCCTCTTCATGGCTGATTGAATCGGAAAAAAGCTGCAAACCATGTGCATGAGAGCAAAGCAGCAGCCCAACATGAACACCCATCTCATGCTTAGCATGTCAAAATGTGTGTGAAAGCAGCCAACAAGGGCTCTATGGCAACCAATGCTGTCAAGCCAAAGCAGCCACATGGGCTGGGAACCCTTTCAACAGCGCACGCTGTATATATATATATATATTATTTATAGCAAAGCCCAACCTGAAGCCCATGTGCATCAAAACAAAGACAACAGGATCTTGCTTAGCATGGCACAAAACAGGAAGCGCAGCCCACTGGCTATGACAATAAGGTAACACAGCCCAAAGGCTACATGCTTATCATGGAACAAAAAAAGTAACACAGCCCACAGGCTGCTTATCATGACAAACAGAAAGGGAACACAGCCCAAAGGCTACTGCTTTATCATAGAACAAACAAAGTAACACAGCCCAAAGGCTACTACTCACCATGGCTAGCAAAAGATAACACAGCACAAGGCTACTGCTTATCATGGAACAAACAAGGCAACACAGCCCCAAGGCTATACTGACTACCATGGCACAAAAAAAGGCAACACAGCCCACAGGCTACTGCTTATCATGACAAACAGAAAGGCAACACAGCCCAAAGGCTACTGCTTATCATGGAGCAAGAAAGATAACACAGCCCACAGGCTACTGCTTACCATGGCACAGAGAAAGGAAACACAGCCCAAAGGCTACTGCCTTATCATGGAACAAACAAAGTAACACAGCCCAGAGGCTACTGCTTACCACGGCACACAAAAGATAACACAGCCCAAGGGCTACAGCTTATCATGAACAAAAAGCAACACAGCCCACAGGCTAGTGAATAACACTGGACAAAAAGGGGCAACACAGCCCATAGGCTATTGCTTATCAGGACAGAGCTGCTGGCTTCACAAGCACAAAGTTAATACCCAAAGTTTGCCACACATGTGCACAGCTGTGCACCAAGCACGGCCCCATGCAAGGCACCAAAGTCTGCGTATAGCACAAGTGTGTCACAAGGGAGTGCTGCAGCCCAAAGGCTTGACCAGCCCTAAGGCTTGAACAGCCCTAAGGCTTGGACACACCAAAAGTTTGATCACTTTGCATGCAACAGTTACATTGCGGCCCACAAGTTTCAACCTGCACCTTTTCCATTGGCTGATGTGCTCAGTCTTTTCTGTATTTGCCAGTCAAATTGTAAGACCTTTTGGTGGCAGTCGCCTCTTGGTCAATATCACCAGATCGCAGGTGCATCAAAGTGGCATACAACATGTCCTTGTCCAACTGCACCATGAGGTCAGAAATGCATGCCCTCTTGGCTGGGCACAAGATTGACACAGGCACACCAGCCACATTGACTTGCACAATCTGCTCCTTGAAGCAAACCTTCCTTTTCTTGTTGGCATGGCCATCTTCTTCTCCATCAAACAAGCTTGCAGAGCTTGCTTGCCCAGACTGCTCAAGCAATGCATTGTTCCTCATGGCTTTGAGGTCAGTGAGCTTCTGCAAGTTGGACAATGAAGCATTTCTCACAGACTTGCCACAAACCAAATGCACCACTGCAGGGCTGGTAGGCCGCAACTTGAGATACTGCCTGCCCAAAGAGTCCTGCATGCAGCCATTTACAAAGTGGCTTGCATGCTGGAAGGCATTTTTTTGCAACTTGCATGTCAGTCCTCCACTATCAGCTCATCAGGGATTGCTACAGGCCGCCCTTCATCAACTGTGATCTCCACCCTGTGGGTGATGGTCAAAGGCATTGCGCATAATCTTTGAGCCAGCTCATGAAAGCAGGGCCAATGGGTTCCAACAGCTGGTGCACTCAGCCATGTGGCTCCAAGTTTCAAATGTCAGCTTAGCCACAGGGGCTTGCCAGGATAGCTGGGATGTGCACACTGCATGTCTGCAACAGCATGGAAGCTCCTTGCAGGCCCACAAGCCAGCATCCTCCCAATGGCTGACTACAAAGGCATGCTCTGCATGATAGCTGCCAAAGCAAGCTGCTTGCAAGCTTTGCCTAACTGAAATGAACATGCACTCCAACAACAGTTTTTGCAACACCTAAAGTGTATAACTTCAGCTGAAAAAGATAGCTAACTGTTAGCTAACTTTCTTAATTGCTTGGCTAAGTGGTTAAGATAAAATAACACATTTATGATAGTTTACTAACAGTTACATTTGTTAGCTAAGCTTGTTAAGCATCTTAAAAAGTTAGACAGCTTATAAGAGGTTAAGACATACTTAACATATGGTTAGGATACCATTAACAAGCTGTTGGCTAAAGCTCTTAAGGCTGATAATGTGTTACTAAAGCCACAGCCCATCTAAGTAAGCGAATTGGTCAAACAACTCCAAACGTCCTTTTGAGCAAGGCTACAATTGTCTTCCACTAAAGAAAGCGTCCAGAAACTCAGGGATTGAGTTCTGACATTAGCCCGGGTGACTTACACTGGGTGTTCAGTCTTCAACAGTGGTCCGAAGAAAGAGAACACATTTCACCAAAGTTCATTCATTGGCTTAGGGCTCCAGCTGAAGGCTGAAGGTGCTGGTGCCACGCTGCTTCGGTGCATGTTTTCCCACTTGCGAGGGGCCAATCCTCTGGGTACAGCTCGCTCTTCAGAAAGCAAGTGGGCACCAGCTCCTGAGAAACTTTTGGGCCGTAATTGGCTTGCACGGCCTTTCTTCGCGCAAGTCTCGATCTCCAAGGCCCAAGTTTCTTGCTGGGCTTTCGGACATTTGGTTTCTCCCTAACGCCGATCCCCCCACCTACTGCTCGGAATTGGCGTGACCGGCCTATGTGCCAAAACTGGGACCAAAAAAAGTGAATTGCAGTGGGTGAGTTTTGGATGCGCTGAAGGCTTACTTACTTTCAAGAGCTGAATGCGCTTGGTTTTCATTTTGCGCTTCTGACCTGTTGATATTCCTTTTCTTCTTCCTGTTTTCAAAGTCTGCCCTGACACTTTTCCTGATTGCAAATATACCGTGGTGTCACTGAGTCATTCTTTCGACATACATCTTCAAATGTCTGCGTTGCGAAGATCTGCTTGCAGCTGCGGCAGATTGCGTGACGCCTGACCTGCGTTTTGCGCGTTGAGTTCAAGCCGTGTAACCTAAAACGTCACACGCTTCCATGCTGCCTTTCAAATTCGAGATGCGTGTGAGGAACTCATTGTTGCCTGTCCGAATGATTGAAAAAGCTGAGAACCCTGTGTAGGTAGACGTTCGCACCCCCCCTTGAGGAAAAACTTTCTCGGCTGGGCTTCTCATTGTCCAGAAACTTGCGGCACATGAGTGCTCATTTGAAAAACTTGCTTTTGAGACAGTCATCAACAAGCTCCTCGTATCGAAGCCAGCCTGCGCGTCCATCAAACAATGGCGGCAACTTGGCAGTCACTGAAGGTTGAGTGATTTGGTGAGGCATAGGCTTCAGGAAAAGGCTCTCCATCTGACAACGTAATGTCTGTTCAGAAAAAACAAGGCGCTACCACACTTGCGCAGTTCACGCAGGTCCATGTATGAGTGTGTGCCTGTCGGGAACACACAGCAGGTCCTCTTTTTGGTCGCAATGGATATAAAGGAAACAGCCTTGAGCTGATGGCCAAGGTGCAAGTTCAATCACTTTTCGGCAGAACAGGGGCATTGGGGGGGTGGTAGGCACACTTGCTCAAGCCCCACCACCTTCAGAGTTCCTGGCCCTCGGCGAGCCCTTTGCGGAGACTTTTGTTGCTCGCAAAACGGTCTTTGGAAATTGTCTCGTGCTTTGCGTCTGCTTTTGCAAGCGCGTGGTCGCGGGTTCGATCCCTGTCTGCGGCAGGCCTGGCTTCGAAAATCGCAACGGTCTTTCTGACAGGAACCTGGCGTTCCAAGGCATAAAGTCGCCATGGCAATCTCATATGGGTATGTCTCTTTTTCTGGATTGTTCGATGCTTCCAACAAGGGAAGCGAACAGGAAAGTCGCCATTCGCGCGGACCCAGACATTTGTGTTGGTATCAGTTTGCCGGATGCAAGAACTGTGTTGTTCCCTTGGGTTTTTTGGAAAACAACACATGTTATTGCTGAAGTGCGCCTTCGAACAGGTGTCTTTGCGCTTGTTTGTGGAGAGGGTTTGGAGCTCAACGCACTTTCGCACGCCACAGCGGGAGCACTTCGACACGATCTCCAGCACAAGGACGATGAACCGAGTGGCAGGAAAAGGCGCACGCATGCTTACAGTAGTGTAGCGTCGCACACGCAGTCTCTGCAGCGTGCTGTTCGCAGGTTCAAATCCTGGATCTGGGCAGTGGCTCTTTGGTGGGTTCTTCAGAGAGATGATGCTGCAAATACGTTGCGCGCGCTTGGTTTCTAGAAAGAAGCGTGCTTGTTAACATCCTCGGCGCGCATTGCCTGCAGCTGCTCTTCCGAAATCGGACGGCAGTTTGCTTCCAGCGTTCCCCGACACATCCTCAGCCTTGCCTGTGTGTGCGTTCTCCAAAGCCGAAGCTCAAGGGCTGTCTCCAAATTGCGGCGTTGCCGCGCGCGCAATCCATAAGCGCTCGACGGGCAAGCGCCAGCCTTATAACAACTTGCGCATCTGCTCTGCTACACCGCCGGCGGCTGATAGCAACGCAAAACGGTCGGGTTGCTGGGCTTTACCGCCACGGCTGGTGAGTGCCTTTGTTTTGGCAAAATATCACACCAAGAAAGAATATGAAACTGCTAGATTCAAACCCAAAGCGTGCCCCTGCATGTGCATGGTCGCGACTTCCTGAAATTTATGCCTGAGCGCACGGGGACCGCAATCCCAAGCAAGCCAGTGAGAGTCACCTTCTCTGAAAAGTTGGGGCGGGCTTGAGCGCCTGTCCTTGTAGAAGGTCCCAGTGTTGCAGGGCTGCTCTATGCTGTGCCACCGCCGAAGCCGCACGGCGCCCACCACCTGTCCAACAGTGGCCAAGCTCCATCACGAGTGAAAAAAATAAAGCAAGCTCAAGAGAGTACCCTCCAAAAACCTCTCTATACCTATGTTGTTTCATTCCTGTATGTATATGTATATATGTATATTCATACATATCTATATATATATATATATATGTATGAAGATATATATATATATATATATTCAGTGCTGTATGTATGTGGCTATGATTTTTCTGAGGGTCTGTGACGTGCGACGTGCCACGAATCTTGTTACGGAGGTCTGTAACGGAGGTCCTTGTTCTGAAACAAGAAAACATTTCGTGACAAGCATCAGTATCAGTAGCGCAATGTAGCGCAGAACAACGAAGAGCAGGGTTCTACTCCTGCTGGAAAGTCGCAACTCTTCGGTACGAAGGAAGTGCGCAAAGCACGCCTCGGCAGCTCCAGCTACTAGAAATTTGCAACTGCCAAAAGCCGAGCGATGGCAAAAAGGGGGTCGCTGGCCATGGGCTTGGGTCTGTAACGAAGTATGTAACGGTTATGTATATAACGAGGTCTGGAATGAGGCAAGGCAAAGCGCGGTACGCAAAGCGCTCCGCAGCTCCAGCTTGATTGCAGCTCAAGCAAAAAAAGTGGCATCGATGGCCCGGGCTAGGGTTGGGTCTGTAAAGAGGTATGCAACGGCTACGTAACGAGGTCTGCAACGAGGCAAGCAAAGCGCAGTATAGCTCCAGCAGCCAAACACCGGCAAAACGGGGGTCTGGGGATGGGGTCTGTGTCAGCAAAAGCATGCTCTGCAAAGTCTGATCTTCAGGCACCCATGGGAAATCACTGAGAGTCTGTGCATGCATTTGGGTATGACGGAGGTCTGTAACAAGGTCTGTAACGCATGTCCGCCGCGGCTCTGTTGCAGACCCCTCAAACAAATCACAGCCATATATCTTTATATACATATTATGTACACATTCATATCTAGTATTTATGCATCGTTCAACCACTATTGTCTGAGCAACCTCCTTGTGGCTTTTGGCTGGAAAATAGAGGTCTCAACAACTGTTTGGGCACAAAGTGTGGTGCACAGTTGCCGTAGTCTGCAGTCGGTGCGGTCAGTGCGTTCACGGAATGTCCGACTGCCTGGGGAACACGTAAGATTGCCCATGGCCGAACCTGGCTGTCAACGGCTTCGTGCTATCCTGGGACTTGGCGATTCGCACGCCGAAGGTCAAAACTTTGCAAGTTAACTGCCTGGATCTGGAGACGCCTTGTCATTCCCGAATGCCCAAAGAGCTGCGCATTGCTTTGACGCTTGGGGGTGGGCGAATGCACCTTCAAACCAATACAACACCGCTACACCATCGGAACACAACCCGCATAACACCGGCAAAACGCCAAAACACCACCAAGAACACCGGGACGCCGCTGGACAACACCACAAATCAACGAAACCACCACTGGCACCGCCCAAACACGCGAACAGCACGCCAGGGACACCACCACGAAGAACCAAAACGCAACAGGGAGACAGGGACACCACCAAAGCACCAGCGAAACACCGCCGGGCACATCCACCACCAGGACATTAGCAAAACGAATACGGGACAACCCCGGGACACCAACGAAACACCGCCGGGGCACCGGCTGCGTAACAGGCGGACGCGGTAGAGTGGAAGACTCCACAGCTGGACACTATCTCACTTCCTGCGTGAGTTGACCAAAACAAAGTCTACCCTTCCACCAGCTAACATGGAAGTGCACAGACCCCTGTAGAAAGACGACTTTCCTCTTGTTGGCGTTTTCGCACAAACCCATGTTAGGTGGGAGGGCAAGCTTTGATTTACCAAAATAATCTTCCCAAAAAGATGGAAGCCCAGGAACTAGGGGAGTAAGCTATTGGGGCATCAAACCTTGAGCTTGTGGTTTCCCTTGATGGGAATTTCCTAGAGCCTCAGATGCGTGGCCTGACCTCTGGTTCGTTGCAGGAAACATTCTTTCATGGTTTTCACCGGGCCTCCTATTTTTGACTTGGGGGAACTGACCTCCCCAAAGAATATTGAAAAAAGCTCGTTTGCTTTTGCTCCCCTGCTAAAAGAAAAAAACAAAAACTTTTAGTGGTCGACATATCCCGCCTGACCCTCCTGCAAGACTCGCCCGGGGAAAGGATTTGAAACCAGCGGGTCCTCAGTGACATGTGGGCTGGCGGGCAACGAAGTCGGAGTCGCGAGAATCCGACGTTCGAAGGCTTGGGCTACAGGAAAATCCGGCCCCAAAACACATCAAACACACACGAAATCGGCTGTTTTCCTGTAGATTGTCATGTAACCCAGGCCTTTGGGGCATAAAACCTTCACAGCTCGAAACTTCGGAAACCTTACTCTGTTTTAGTGGGGTATTTGTCCAATGTCCTGTGCCAGAATTTGCTGGCATCTTAGCAAGCAAGCACGCCACCCTCTTGGGTAAGACATAGTGCACACGAGTGTTTGACAGATTCACGTGAGACACCAGTCAGAATGATTTTGCTGGAGGTCCCTGTTTTTAGGCCTTTGACGCCAGCCGCTAGCTCGCCACCGAACCTCCAACGGGTAATTTTTCTGGGGTCATTATTTTGACGGTTTCTGGTGGTTATCAAAGTCACAAAATGGGGGTGTTTCCCTTTAACCCGCCACTTACTAACTGACTTTGATCATGGTAGAATAATGAAGCCAGTTTTTCTGCCGGAGTGGACAAAACCTTCGCGCCAGGTCTCGGAAGCCTCTTCCGGTTGCGCTAGCCAGGAGATCATGTCTTGCCGTAAGACGTTGCGCAGGAAGGCTTGCTCCAGCCAAAGCATCAAGGTGGACACATCCACCACCCACCACTGCAAATAATCACCTCACTTCGGGTTGTGACGGCTTATGGAGGAAGATTTGAAGCAAGATCACTGCAAATAATCACCGCACTTCGGACTTCGGGGTGTGACGGCTTATGGAGGAAGATTTGAAAATGGTTCGCCGTGGCTGGTGGCTCACACTCTTGAAGAATCCAACTGGCTCTTTTGGGGAAAAAACGAGAGGAGTGGTACTTTGTCGCTTTAACGGGATTTCCTTGGTGTCACAAAAGATGGTTGATTCCCAAAACCGAACTCATTTCCCGCTTTCAGTTTCGCGCAAGGCAAGGGAACCCGCTTTTGGGGGCAGGCTTAGCCTTTTGGCTTCCTGAGCTCGCCACAAATCGGCGAGCTGGAAACAGGTTTCTCCCGATTCGTCATTCCCTGTGGTTCCTGAACGGCCTCTGACTTCTTCAAGGCCCGCCTGCAAAAAAAAAGAAAGAAGAAATGGATCGGCCCTTGGCTGAAACCTTTCTTCCGGACCGTCTGGAACGAGCACTCTGTTCCGGACGCTTGAGTCAAACACTCTTGATCAGGACACCTGGAATTTGATGGAGGTATCAATCTTTCTCTCTATCTATCTCTATCTCTCTTTCTCCGTCTCCCCTCCTTTTCCCTCTCTTTCTGTTCGTTCGTTCCTTGCTTCTTCCTTTCCCATGCTGGACTAAGGGCCTGGATCGGAGCTTCCAGGTGATCCGAACCTTCGGACCGTCTGGAGGGTCCCCCAAAAAAACCAACCATGGCTTCCGAACCTTTGCTTCGGACACGCGAAGCTGAAGCCAAACAATGGAAGAAAGCCGTGGCCGGTTCGGGTTGGATGTCAGGCGAAGTTTTTCTTCTCAGCGCCGTTCCAGAAGAGCCAGGAGGAGTGGGTCCCTCCGTGTAGGAGCTTCGCTGGCAGAGCCATACGGTTTTTTGCTATCAGAAGGCCGAGCACAAAAGGTGCTCACCCGTGTTCAATCGCCCAACCCCGAATCGGAAAACTCGGCAATAAGATCTGCTAGAACTCCCATTTAGATACCCAAAATGCTAGTCCACTCCCCTTCAAGGTTTGCTTTGCCAGGTTTCACTAAGCCTCGCACATGTTGCCCCTTATTCTTTCAGCAGCCTGATTCGGCCTACCATGGAATCCAAAGAGACAGGCGCCTTTGAATCTGGGACATCCTTCGCTGGCCCGGGTTTGGGAGATTGAATGGAAGGCAAGCTCACTTGCCCAAAGGACCCAGAAGTAAACGGTTAACCCTTTAGGGCTATGACTCAAATTGGACAAAATCATGGAAAACCAAAAGGTCACAAGGTCGGCTTTGGGCAAGTGAGCAAAAGAAAAGCAACAAGTTGTAGTAGTAGTCCTCATTCTAGTGCTGGATACGAAGCTATTTCTGCTGGCAAAAGCTCGGCCACTCGTGGTCCTCCCTCGAAATTGGAAAAGACATATCGGTGGAACACTTGGATGCAAATGGGTGCCAGCTTTTATCACAAGGAAACTGATTGGATTGGGTGTATTCCTCTTAGGGATTTCTCGAAGTGGGCCCTTGGGTTTCTGTGAAGACCCTATCCAGAAAAGCGGGGCCCTTTAATCCCCTAACATGGGTGTGGGTCAAAATTCAGAAAGCAGGGGACCGCAGGTTTTGGTCCATGTTTCCAAAAAACCTGGGTTCCATTTTGGGTAACTATTCTTGACCCACAGCCACATGGACCCCGCCACAAGGTCAACTGGACCCGACCGGTTCGTTTTCTCCCGAGGGCCTTTTCTTCGATCATCTCTCTACTGGAGATGATCGAATAAGGGTACTATTTCTTGTCTGTCTATTTTAGTAGGGGAACCCTCCCAACCACAAAAGAAACGGTAAAAGTTGGCACCTAGCTGGGGGACCCAGACGTTGAACAACTGCAAAACAAAAAGACGCAAACGCGCCCTTCACCTTCCGAGAGGCCCTGCGACATCACCGTGGTCCAAACTCGCGTCAGCTTGTAGGCCTCCCAAACGTTGAGATGCAGCGCAGAAGCCATCACAAAGACGGAGAAGAGGACCAACGTCTGGGGCAGGGACCACAGGTTGCTGTTTTTCTCCTCGAACAGCGGGGCTGCGCTGGATTTTTTGTTAAACAGAAGAATCGCAAAAAAAACAAGTACCAGCTGCTTTGCGGATCTTGGAAAGAGGGTGGTCTTGGGATGTACTCAGGAACCCTGAGGAACTGGTGCTTATATGGCCATGGGCCCAGTGAACGTCCCAATCCCCACTAAAAAAACTAAATGGGTGGTGCACCTACCCCAAAATGGGCTCCCATTGGTTTTGACAACCACAGCCAACTCTGTTCAGGAACACCGGGTTCCCATTGGGACTAGGGGAACGCACCCAATACCTACCGTTTATTTAAGATGAATGCCAAGGGAAAAATACCTTAAGACAGGCTTGGCGGATGGGCTTAGGAATCCCAATGTCCAACGGGTTGGTAACTTCCAATGGGCAGGTGATTTGATCAGAACTCCTGTGGGCTATAAACCAAATTCGGGCCAAAGCGTGTCTCATGGCACAACTGGGTACGTCTTTGGAGGGTCTCTTTTTTTGTCCGGATTCAATGCGAACAACGAAGCCCATGTTTGGCGCCTCACTGGTCGAGTCCGCAATATCAACCCAAACCCAAAAACGTGGTCCCACAAGCCACTCGGAGGCGTTTCTTGAGCTGGCTAGAATTCTGAATGGCCCTCCGGTGGTGGAGACTATCTTCTTTACTCGGCAAGGCCCATCAAAAATTGCCCCCAGGGGCGTCCAATCCATTCGTTGCAATCAGGCCATGCACTGAGGCTTTTTTTTTATGTGGCTGGTCGTCTTATTTGAGGCAGCCCCTATCTTGATGTGTTCAAAGGGAAACTCGAAGGAACATGTCAAAACCATTGCGCCATTCTGGGGGTTCCAATTCCTTAAAGGAACCACGCCCGCTTGGTCGTTTCCATATTCTTTTTTCAGGCCTACACCCAGCTTGGATCCGCCAGCCGAACCCATCGAGTTGCCTCAGATATTCCGGAAGTGAGGCGGCGAACAAACCCTACGGCTGGCAGAAGTCCACCATGAGTTCCTGGACTTGATACTTTGTGACGACCAGGTTGGGTCGTTTCTTTGACAGTTCAGACTGCGGCGCGGACTCAAACTTTGGGGACATCAGCGCGCCCTTTGAGGATTCAAGTCTAGCTCAGTCGTAATGGCTCTACCCAAAGAATATGGGTGTGAGTTAACAATTGGTACCCAAAGTGGGTTGCCCCTGGTAAATGGAAACAAGAACTGAAACCTGCGGTCTGGTCGGTCGATCAAGTTTGACCCATACCCATATAAGGAATTCCATCGACGCCGTGGAATTCTCAGCCTCACCTTGGCGGGAATGGCCATCGACCCATCTTGTTCCCAGTCTGCAGGTATCGAAATCTGAGCCCTAAAACAAGAGGAGGGGTGCGGCAGATCTTATTTTGGATATGGATTTTGGATGGCATTTACTGGATTTCATTTTTTCTGGGCAGTCAATCTTTCAATCTTCCAATCCGTCAATGCCACAATGATCTTCTTGGTAAATCACGATTTTGTCTTCTCCTTTTAACGCTTCAAATGTTCCCATGTGTGTCATAATCATAACCTGGTATTAAGATGGTCTATGTAAGGAACTAAGAAGGCGGATATCCGCACCCATTTATGGCAAGGGGATTCTCCCTTACTAAGCGGTTCTGATTGCGGCTCATGTCACCCACTGATTAGGTCTTTGAGCCGAGGGTCGTACTCATAATGCAGCCACTTCAGGATTTCATCGAGACTGCACTCTGTGAGCTTGTGCTCCTGGCGAGCGAACGGCCCGGATGCGCAGCCCAGCCAACTTGTCAACACCCGTCAGCTAAGTCCCAGACTTTCGGACAGCGGATCCAACGTCATGCGCTCCACGAAAGTCAAGACACAAAAACACACACACACACACACACACACACACACACACACACACACACACACACACACACACACACACACACACACACACACACACACACACACACACACACACACACACACACACACACACACACACACACACACACACACACACACACACACACACACACACACACACACACACACACACACACACACACACACACACACACACACACACACACACACACACACACACACACACACACACACACACACACACACACACACACACACACACACACACACACACACAGACACACACACACAGACACACACACACACACACACACACACACACAGACACACACACAGACACACACACAGACACAGACACACACAGACACACAGACACACAGACACACAGACACACACACACAGACACACACACACAGACACACACACACACACACACACACAGACACACACACACACACACACACACACACACACACACACACACACACACACACACACACACACACACACACACACACACACACACACACACACACACACCTAACAACAACATGTTCAACGTAAACCCAACTCCCGAAAGCCGTCGTTGGGGGTCGTGGAATGCACCCTTTCTTCTGACCCGTTTCAGTTTCATGTTGTCTTGCGGCCTTCTTGGAGGGTTCGCAAATAACACAACCGAGGTGTGCCTTCTTCGAACATACCATACCCTTGTTGCGGATGATACAAAAGACAACATTCCTGAAAGCAAAGCTGCCTGCGCCGGGCCAGTCCTGCTCCTTCCCAAACATCGCCTTTTTGACCAGCGAGAAGGCGACGCTGCCTTTGGTGATCGCACGGTGGAGATCTTCCGCGGTCACCCGGCCCAGCCCGTCTTTGTCTGCATCCTGAACGCGCAACGCGCAACTTGGAACCTTGTGCTAAACAAACCACGTTGATGGTCCAAGTATAGGCTCTCAGGATATCATTCGAGGAGTTTGAATGGGTCAGCGTGTGAAGATACTTGGCATGTGTCAACCTAGGGGTGCCGCCACAAAAAAGTGGTTCCCTTTTGGGTTCCCTTTCAGCCTGCCTTAGCAGGGCACTGACCGGACGAGTGGCGTCGAAGCACAGCGCAGAATGACCGGCATGATTTACTCAACGAAGCCGAGGCTGACAGGAAACTTACGTGGGTGACGTCGCGGTATTGGGACAGCGTCTAGCACTCGCCGTTAAATAGTACATTCAAGGCAGCCACAATTTGACACTTTCCGCCGTCCATATAGCAAGCGTCCTTATCCATCGATCGCTCTGAGGGTGGCTCTGCTGCCCAAAATCAGTTATGCACCATGGAGCGATTGATGGAGACGAGTGCTTCTCCGTTGATGGCACGCACTTTCACTCCAGGAACGTCGCTTTGGGCATTGCAGAGACCCTTACAGCGATCGAGGGACGAGCGCTGGTCCATGGGTAGATCTCGCCCGCAGGGCCAGACGATGACAATTTCTGCCATCGATGGACAAGCGCTCTTATGAATCGATTGCTACACAATTGGTCGTCCTGATACCCCAAATCACGCTCAGGGAGCCAAATTCTTACAATCCCTGCCATAGATGGATGAGCCGTTTTCAATCGCCCCAAGCTTGGGGCGGTCCAGAGTGGAATCGACCCCGCGAACGCGGGCGACGCGAGGCTGTTGGACTCTGAAAAGCGACTGGTGATTTCGTCTTACACGCACGAACCACGAAGAGGGTTGCGGCTTTGTTCAAATAAGGACCCTACACAGCGCTTCCGGGAAAACACGCACTGTGCTTAGGCTGGATATCCTGAGATTATCCTGTCGCGCCTGGGTCCAGGACAGGAACATGTGAATTGTAAGAATCCTAAAAAGGCCGCCCGACAGAGATGTGCAAAAGGGAGCCATAGGTTTATCTCCCGGATGATTTGATTTCAGCGAAAGCCTCCTGTATCAATCGAGAACATGACTGGAGGCCGGGGGGGCCAGAGACACCTATAGCTGCGCTTCGGGATTCATCTCCTGCCTTCCTTCAAAGGCCCAGGTTTTACTTGGGGAAACCGAGCAGCCAATTCGGGCAAAGAGGTTGAACTTCAGAACTCATTGACTAGGCCCTCCAGTAGAGAGGTTAGACTAAGGAACTCTTCAGCCTTTTTTCGGTAGTCTATTTTAGTAGGGGAGCCCTCCCAACCAAAAAAAGGGGCGAGAGGTCGGGCACTACTGGGCCAAGTTGACTCAGAGGGTTGTGGCCACACAGGGGAAGATCCGAACGAACAAGCGGGGCCAAGCCTCCCGTATCTCTTGTTCCCCCGGTATCCCTGCTAGTTGGTTTCCCTGAGATCCGGCTTTGGTAAAATTTCAAGGGACACCTCCAAACAAAGGAACCTTCGTCGCAGGTTTGGGCAAGCCAGCCATTCGACTTGGACTCCTAGGTCCCAGCGTCGTTGCGTCTATCGACACCCCTACGAAACAAGTAGCACAACAGCACAACAAGGAGACTTAACTGCTAGACGCACCCGAAACCAAAAAACAAGTGGCTGTGGGTCAAAAATAGGCACCCAACATGGAACCCTGGTAAATGAACACATTGACTAAAACCTGTGGTCCTCTACTCTGGTTGTTTAATTCTGACCCATACCCACTTCACGAAACCGGCAACTGACCGAGCCCAAAACACTCAACTAACTCACCAAAACTACCAGCCCAAAATCATGCAAAAACAACCACTGATGTTCCCCAACAACCTATCCATCACAACTTGAAACACAAACAAGTGATATCTTCCAACATGCTTTCAAACCCAACCGCCGACACTGCTTCTGAAAACGGGGGGATCCCTATTTTCCAGAAGTCACAATCCGTAGTGGGGCAAACCAAGGAATTCACGTCCCGCCGATCGAACTTGAACCACGGCCCCGCAACCACAACCCGACTTTTGGTCCCTCCCAAAGTCCCAAAGTCTCCTTGATCCAGTCCCGGATCTCCTCGCTGGTGAGGTAGGTGCCTGGCGCTGCGGGGGAGCGGAATGCCCTCTGCATGTCAGAGAAGACGACTTCAACCAGCGTTGGCCGTCTGTTTTACACGATGGCTCAAGAAACAAAACGTGCGCGCCCGCTGTTTCAGCGCGTTGGCCGTTTCCAAATCGGCTCACAGGTCCTTAGGTCTTTGGAGTTTGAAGGCAGACCGGCAAACCGGCAAACCCACCCCTCTGCCTCACAAAAAAAAAGAGACAAGGCCAGGCACATCCCAAAAGATAAAGGAAACCAACAAAAACGAAGAAACAAGCAGAAAAGCCCCAAAGACGACAAGGGAACAAACCAGCCCGAAACACAAGAGAGAGAAGAAGCACTAAAGAAGACAGTAAAGCAAAGCAAAAACACGCCCCTTCCAAGAAGGCACTCCGCCAAAAAAACCACAGCGATAAAAGCGACGGAACACGAGCAACAAAATCTTCGGCGATGCCAAGACATGGAAAGCTGGGGCCCCGGCCGTCCAGCCCCGCCAGCCTCACCAGCTCTAAGGTGGACACATGTCCGCTGGCCTCGTGCTCCTGAATCGATCTGCCCCACCAAAGGGGGGTTTAGGGTTAAGGGCATGTGCGGTAAGGGGGGGGGTCTATGGAGGGATAATTGAACTACAAATGGAGATATTCAGAAGTCGACCCCCCACCCGAATTTTCTCAGTTCCATTTCCCTTCCTAGCAAATGAAACCAGCAACCGCCCTTTAAAGCGCCAACCGGAAATGCTGGTTACGTAACTAGGATCCACTGGGTGTGATACATCTGATACCACAAAAGTGGGCCATCCCTTTGACTTTGTCATTTTCAAAGGGATTGCCTTAGCATCACAGAAAACGGGCCATCACTTAGTTTCCACATGTTATTGCCCATGTGTCTTCGTCAGTTTATTGACGGTCGGACCAACCCATATATTTTTAACTGGATCCTGGGATTTTGGCAACGTCCGCCTCAGCAGGAAACAACGATTGCGCTTTGAAGGCAACCCAGCCCCCAACACAAGACTCAAGGGAACCATGTTTTTGAAGGAATCCCCGCCGTTCAACACGAGGGCTTTCCTCACTGTTGCGTTTTACTTCACCGGGCTGCTTATAATTCTCCCCGTAAGCATCCGGCCAAGAGGAAAACCAGCCACAAGTGTGTGTGTGTGTGTGTGTCAGAATAGGGGGCCCCAAAATGACTGGTTTTCAGTTGGTCTCCCTTGTCCGGACATCCTCGAAACGGGTAGCCTCAAAAACGCGGCGTGCAAAATTCAAACACCGCAGGCTCCTCGAAGTTGAGCAGCACATTCTCAACGTCCTCCTGGGTGATGAGGTGCACGTGGCCTGAATCTCCGGAGAGACCCCCCCGCTGGGCCAAACGACAGACCCGACAAACGTTCACTTGACTGCGTCTTGAGGCTCTTCGACGTGTTTGCTTGGATATCGAAAGGACGCAGCATCTGAAGTTCCCATTTGTCAAATGGAAAAACACCCCGCCCTTCTGAGCTGCACGGTACTAGTCCTCTTCCACGTTTCTGGGCTACGTTCTTCAACGCAAAGGAATTGCAGAGAGCCCTGAAAGAAATCCGGACTATCCGTTCAGAAGCGCTCTTCAAACACAGAAAGGACCTGGACCCTTTCAAAGGAAACAAGACAAACTTGTAGCTCAGTTCAGGCTGGTTGAATGTAAGGCGTCGCAGTTCCCTCGCAGCAAGGCAAATAGCCATGTACACTTTCAAGCCTCGCTAACACGTCTGCCTACAGCGCAACTCATTGTCTCACGGACAATCAAAGCCTACGCGATCATCTGCGGTTGGTGGAATGCTTGACTTGTGGCGTGGCAGCCTGAAACATGACCCTTCTTTTTTGTTTGACTTCCAAGGTTTTCAAGAAACCTTCATCATCTGGCTGTCGTGCATTCAAACAAACACAGCTACGCCAAGAACGCAATGCGCTGGTTGAGGCGTGCGAAAATAGGTGGCAGGTGTTGGCTCCTCGGTTTGACGCACACTGGCCACACCCTACCCATTCGCTCCCTATCACAGGCTCACCTCCCTCCCAACCACCTGTTCTGCTTTCGCATGTCTTTGGACTTGCTTACACATTTTGGCTCAAGCAATCCAACCGCAATACCGGGACATCCATCTTCGATTCCTGTTTGTATCAAGTGGCGTTCTCATACCTCGAGGTTCCTTCCCCCTGGTAATGGTCCACAATTGTGGTAGCGGAGCTACTCGGCTTTCCGAAGGAAGGAGAGGTGTCGTCAGACGGAGGATTATTTCCTGAAGTCTGCCGCGTCTGATGGCTGACAATCAATGACCGCCAAGTTGCCACCATTGTTGGACGTGCTTGTTAGCTTGTTTTGATATGAAGATGACTGGTTGAACATCCCCCAAATAAATCTAACGAGACATGGGCCGCTTCTCAAGAGAAGGTGGAATGGAGAAGCACTTCTCCACCGCGAGCTGCTGGACGACGGTCAGCTCAAGGATCTCGTGGACGGCGTTACATATTTCAAGAATACACTTCGGAAGTTGCTCCTCAAAGGAAACACCTATGTCCGAATTCTCAGTTTCTTCAACCATCGAAGACACAACACTGAGTTCTCCGCTTCATCTCCAAGATCGAGTTCAAAAGATTGTGAGCGGCGCGGAATGATCTGATGCCAAAATGACGGCTCGATCACCACAATATCTGCAAGCAGTGCAAGAGATCAAGGTGAGAACACTCTGGCTCAGCCATCCGCTGCACCTGGGCTCTTATTTTGCAGATGACATGAAAGTTCCAACTCCCGAAATCTGCAGAAAGCATGAACCAAGACCAGGGTATCCAATCCGACTTCAACATGAAATCAGAGAGCTTGGGCGAAGCGACTCGCCAGAGAACATCATGTCCTACATTGGAGTTAGCAACTGTTGAAGAACCCAACGTTCATATTCAAGAGAAGAAGCTTTGCCACTCAGAGTCATTGAATGCCCTCGGTGCAATTTGGAGAGACATTGCACGATCGCCGCAGTTGTCGGACATGAACGTGATCACAACCTAGTGTGCCAGGCAGCACTACCAGGCCAGGCCAGACATAGTTGCTGATCTCGCAAAACAACATCAGAGCCAAATTCCAATTAATCGCGATCCGACAAAAGGGTGCGAAAGCGATCGGATGCTTCGCCAAGAAAGGTAGGAAGACAAGCAGAGTAGACCTGATTACCCGACATGCAACAACAATAACATCGTGTTGGGGAACTACAATGGGCATCTTTCGATGTTTTTGGTATGTTGGCGGAGAGCACAACAATCTGAAACCACGACGTGAGTGCGTCGCATCGACTGATGGGAATTTCATGAAGACGACTGACTACCTGCCACCAGGAGCTATCGTTCAGTACTATGGTGATCACAAACACAACTAGGAGTTCAAGAGCCCAGTCATGGCCGGCCGCAATGATCCGAGCCTGTATCACTAGAAGCATGTTGACCGCTCAGGCCGACCGGTTGGTTGCCGTTCTACATGTTGATCGGACGCGAGCCGGGAAACCTCATGCAGCTGCCAAAGCAATGCAAGAGGAGCTTATACCCTTCGTGTGCAAATATCACTGCGACTTTGTGACCGGCGATTTCAACAAGGCAGCAAAACCGCTGCATCATGTCAGGAAACAGGTCACCCGACACAGAGACCCATGTGTGCCCTCTTTCAGCATCTCAAGGACAAGATGATCAACCAACACGCTCAACATTCTTTCCAACAAGGCCGACGTTAGATCAGCATCGAGTCCACCTTAACACTCAAGGATACGGCACTATGCACGCGCTGCAAGAAGACGGTTGCACTTGCTTGACTGCGCGATGACCATTGTCCTGAGTTGGACAAAGACGAGGACGCGGAGGAAGTTGAACGCGCTTGCGTGTGAAACCAAGTACCCCAACGGTGAGATGCTCAGGAATGGCAGGCAAAACAGAGATTGGCACCTGCCTCTCATGGCCAATATCAAAAGGCCCAGAATGGCGAGGCTGAGAAAGCGCAAGCAAAGGACACACCCTTCCATAGTGATGAGCGGACGGGCTGGAACTCAGATCAATGGTACGGCAAGAACAGCAAGTCCCACAACAGCAGTGATTGCAGACGTCCTCCACAGGTATGATCCCAATTCGATTACGATGATTTCCAACCAGATACCACCTCGACGACCTTTTCCTCATAGATACGATTTCCTTTTCATGTCTGAGAGCGAGGTAGGACATCCGCTTCACACCGACGACACATTGCATAGCGTGTCTGTTGCAAACTAGATCGGAGCTAGAAATGTGTCTGTTTTTGCTCTGCTTCTGCATGACGATGGCCTCCTTGCACTCTCAACTTTTGGGTCCAGGCCTATTAGTCTTACATCATGACATGGGAGTGCCAGCTACAACACCAGGACGTCCACCTTGGATTCCTAGTTATGCCATCAAGTGGCACTCTTTAGTGTGAAACAAATTCCTTTTTCCTCAAAAGAGGAAAAAAGTAAGGCAATTCAACTAGGCCCTTCTGTAGGTTTCTGCTCTTTGCAAGCCTTCAATCATCCCACTCTTAATCGCAGACTCCTGGTAACTCCTTAGCTCCCAAGGCGGATTCGGATACTGGCTGCGCACGACAAGTAAACAGCTTTCTGTGATCGGACAAAACACACACACACACACATTTCCCAAGTCAAAGGTTTGAAGATCTCACCAAATACTTCATCCGGCCCATAAAAGCACGCGACCATGGCGGTTTGAGCGCCAAACGTGCACTTGAGCGACAAGCGCGCTAGCGCGCGCCATTTTCTTTGCTGCCTTGGGATGAACTATCTGAGCTCGCGCAGCTGCTGCTTTCGCTTTCAGATTGGCTTTATGTCGGTTGAAGAGCTTTGGCAGACCCAGTAACTACGCAACCTGACTTACAACCACAATCTAGAAACATGCAGGTGCTCGTTTGGTGTTGCCTCCAAGGAGGCTCATGCTCTTGCATTCAGTTTGGCAAACTGCCTGCTGGCGCGGTGCGCCGAGCTAGCGAGCGGCTGGCGCGCGAAATTGAGTGTGCCTTCAGTCTATTGCCGGCCACCCGAGTGCTATCGCAGAAGGGGCCACTGCGCAGGATGCAAGAAACAGGCGTATCTCACATCCCGTGTGCCTCCCGGACTTGACTATAGCCTCTGCACACTTCCATGCCACTTTTAGCTGACAAGCTTTTGAAAGAAGCCTCAGGTTTCCTCACCCAAGTACGGCCCTCTTGACACGGGTCCCGATTTCTTCGATTCTCGCGCGGCCTGCCTTGAGATCGAGACCAAGCAAGCAAACGGCAACACTTGGTTGGAAGGGGAGCAAAAACATAAATTTTAGCAGTTAATTGGGGATTTCCCACTAAACCACAATAAGCAAAAAACGTAAAAAACAATTCCCAACAACAACCATGAACAAGCAGTTCCGAATACGCGGCGTTCGACAAAGAAGGCTTCGGATGCTCTCCGCGCCTTCTCGGACCTTCTCCCACATCGCGCATTGCGCCACGCGCTGGTTGAAGGGGTTCGCCCCCATCATCGCCATAGCGCGGAACAGTTCCTCTTCGCAATGTGGGTGTGGGTCAAAATTAAACCACCAGGAATTGGACCCATGTTGCCAATTACCAGGGAAACCCATTTTGGCTACCTATTTTTGACCCAATGTGTCCAAAAGGGGATCCAAAATATACATCTGGTGCTTTTCTTTCCCTTGGAACCAGCCTTGAAAACGGCCCCCTTACCCCCCACCCATCCAGCTCCAACCAAAGAGGAAGTCCAGGTTCTCACTTGATCAGCTTGTGGGTTGCCGAGCTGGCCAAAAGGGCCAGAAACCAGGAAGGCAACTCAAGAAATTCGCGAAACACCTGCAGAAATTCCCGGAAAAAGCGGCTTCTCAGACACAACAAACGCTGGAACTACTCCAGCTAAAGAACCTGCTTGAGTAAAAGGTGGTTTCTTTTTGGGTTGCCATGACTTCAAGAAGCAACACCACACGCGTCATGGCGCCCTTGAGAGCGAGGCAAAAACACACCAAAGCAAGGAACAGTCCGTGCACATGTCAGAACAAAGCCCCGACTCTTCTCAAGTGAAGAAAATTCGTTGCATACAGCCATGATGTTTTCTCCGATGGGCGTCGGTGTCCGCTGCATTCCGCTGTGCGCGCTCTGCATCTGTGGCAGGCTGAATTCTCTTTGGCGCCAAGCGTTCTGGCTAAACGTGAGACCGCCCAAGATGTGATTGCAACAGTCTCGAAGAAAGCAGGATCTGATCCACGGAAGAAAAAACCCAACGCAACTCATTGCAAAGATTTGCAAAGTAGTCAGCACGGAATGGGCAATGCGGGGCGCGCCGTCTGACAACGCTTCAACGGTTGTCAACGGCTACGTTCACCCTGCGCACTTTGTCGCTGGGCCAGCTACCTACTGCTTAGTGTCACAAACTCACAAACACTTTCAAGGATGCCTCGCAATATCCTGAACGTGGTTCTGTGAGCATCATTGATCGCTTGGCCAGAAACATGTCCCCCTCAAAAAAGGCAAAGTCAGGTTGGCTAAGAAGTGTATGGACGGATACATAATTCGCTGTCCACCAGCTCCAAGCATGTTGCTGCCTGCCACAAAAGGGTACATAATGATGAATTTGCGAGTTCGTTGCGGAGAATGTGCTTTTCCTGAAATGTGTTTGCGCCCTGAAGGATGTAGAGTCCTTTTGGACCAGGATATCCAGGATGGAAGTTGGAACCCTTTGGGAACTCATATGTGTCTGACAAGCCAATGGTGTCCCAGTGTCATTGGTACACACAAACAAAATAGCCGGGGAAGTTGCTGCCTGTGTTCAATTATTCAGCGATGTAGGATAGCGGCTCGCGAAGCGATGCCTCTGATTGTTACTCACGTGCTAAAGCACCTTGCACACTAGTTCATTCGGGAAATTCCCGTCACGTAGTGTCTGGGCAAATTGCAACTCGCCAAGCCCAAATAAGGGACGCCCAAGAAAGACAACGTCGCAGCCCAGCCCCCTGGTGACGTTACTGATGGTCCGATTCCGCTTCACCATTTGTATATTTCGGCTAGGCTGGCTGGATCAATTCCCTCTCAGACATATCAAACCTTGCCGTACAAATTGGTTCTGAGATGGGCCCCTGATGTTGCTTCCCCAAATCACCCTTTTGGGCGCAATCGAAACCGTGGCATGCAATTGGGACATCGGGGTCAATGTCCTCACAGAATGCCACTGCACCAGAGTCAGCCTTGAAATTGGATGCTCCCCCACTTTGGTAATCTTAATACAAACACATGAGACATGTGTACATGTCGAGAGTATGTCTTTACGTGTACATGTATATATGTGTGCTCGCTGGATATGCCTTGCTGTGTGGGGATGACCTATGAACTGTCCACCTAAATTCCTGCTCAATATGGGCTTTCCCTCATGCGACACAGCATTTTCCATTGCGGATGCCGGTGTCAGAAGCTAACTCTCTGCTCAGGCAGGGCCTTCAGTTTTCTACCTCGGACGGATGGGACACCCCGCTTTCCGAGAGTAGGGTTTGCCCCTGGGTTTGTACGCGCCAAATCCAAAATTCAGAAGCCCAGAAATTCCCGCAAAGAAATCCGCCAATAAATGCATGCGATCAAGTTGCTTTGATGGGCCCCGTGTTCTTCAGTGGAACCCATGTGAACACACACATATATATATATATATATTAATATATATTTTAAGTTTGCGAGTTTCATGAGCCCTATCGCAAGCCAGGGCTGACATGCAGTAAAGCACAAAAAGCGGCAACCACTTCGCTGAAGCGAGCCGGATGCCACCAACCTCATGCTTTCCTGCAGGAAGATCTGGTCCGTGCCTCTGTCTTGGATCTTTGAGAGATGACCTTTTTTGAATGTGGCAAGCAACCCTTCCAAAGTTCATCTGGCTCTGGCGGCGTTTTCACACACCCAAATCGGTCAAAGCCGTTTTGCTTCAACCTGAGACCAACATTGAGAGGGGAAACCCAAAAAACCCAAACCAGGCCAAACTTCCCCCGCAATCGTTTACATGTCCACCGACCGAACTCCCAAACCAATAGACCTGAGAGCCTCGCAGACCTGAGAGCCCCCCCCCCCCAACGTCTCCCCCCGCGATAGCCTGCCCTGTCCAAAGCGCGAATCTCGGTGGGTTCTAGCCATGGACATTGGCATTCGGGGACCCGAAATGCCAGGGATACTCCAAATTGCTAGAACGCTAGAGGTGGTGTTGTTTTGGGGCCCCTAACTCAAAACATGAAGCAGAACCGGAAAACCAAGATGTCAAAAGGTCCATTGGGCGGCAATAACATAAGCCCTCGATTTGTCCCCACACATCGGCTTCCAAGCGCCCAGATGCGCTTCTCAAACGCCCGGTGGCCAGGGAAAAAAAACAACATCCGCATCCTTTTTTGGTTGGTTGACTTTCAAGGAATCTCGGAACCCTTCCAAAAAGGAAAGAAAGAAAAAGGCGGAATCCACTGGGCAACTCAGAAGAAAAGGGGGGACAACAAGGGGCGGAATCCACTGGTTGCCACTTGGCCATGGGTCAAAATCCAAATCGTACCCCCAATAAACATCGCAATCCAACCACTAAAATAGGTTCTAAAACGGGTGGTGAATTCACCTACCAACCAAAATGGGATGCCATTGGTATTGACCCACAGCCCCTTGGAGTCCAACATGGTTATATGTTTTCAGCGGCTGAGTGGCACTTGATGGTGAGGTCCCACAGGGTGGGCTGGCAGTCCGTCAAGCTTCGGAACTCCTCCGAGACGTCCTCGAGTCGAGTCATGGCGCCAAAAACCGCGGAGGGGAGGGACCCGTTTCGTGGGAGACATGTGGTGACTCAAAATTAAACAGGAGGGGCAAACCGCAGGTTGTGGTCCATGGTTCCACTTACCAGGGTTCCATTTTGGTACCTTTTTTTTGAGCCACAGCCATGTCCTGGTCCAACGAAAACCGACCTGAGCTACCCCTTGGCAACAAGGAACATCGACATCGTACAAAAAGACACAGGCCGCCAACCCAGTAAGGTCCCCCCCCCCCCCCGCATCATCGGCATCATGAGAAAGATGCCGGCAATGCTGGGGATGCTTTCCAGTACCGTGGCCCTGCAGCTCCAGTTCCAGACTCCCACCCCGTGAACCAAGCCGCACCCAGCACCCCACGAAGCCAACCCTAAACCACAACCCTGAACCAACCTGAAGCCAACCCTAAACCAGCACAACCCCTAAACCAACCCACCCTACAACCCTCGCCCTAAACCCCAACCCTAACCCTAAATCAACCCTTTCCAGCCCTACCGGGGGGGGTTGGGCGGGGGGGGGGGATTCACGGCCTGTAACATATATGAGTCACAATGAAAATACCCGTATTAACATGGTGTTATTCCCGGAATCATGCTTCAAGAATTAAGAAGGCGGATATCCGCAACTATTTCTGGCTGGGACTGCCCCGTACTAACCTTCATCTACCCGAGTTTTGACTGTGGCTCACCTCGGGTTGGGCCTTGATGTCCCCGAACAAACCTGCCCAAGATAGCCCAGGGAGCCGCTGACTCCTGTTCACCGTGATACTCCACAGAGAAAGTGAGTCTTGAACAATACATCATAATACCACCATAGTAGGGTTCAAGCATGATTGCACAGGTTTCCTGGGACCCCCTCGAACATTTGAACAACTTGTGGAGACCGAAAATCCGGTGGATGGACCAAATCGAGTTTGCACCAGTTGGGATTGATAACACGCTCTAAGTCGGGGATGAGCCATCTACCAATCGGCGAGATTATTTTGCTTCTTCGTAGTTCCAAGAGTCGCACTGAAGAGCAATGGGTCCACATGAACAAAAAGGTTGAAGGGAAGGGATCAGGTTGCAGTGTAAACAAGTGGCTCTCTCACACTTTGGGCTCAGCTATCGGACCCTCAACCTGCCCCCTTTTTCTCAATGGATCACGCATGAGCAACTATGAAAACTCATCCTCTTGCATTCTATTACGATTCCGTATGGGTATATGTCCAAAAGGCTTCTCGTTGAGCCAACCCCAAAAACAAGGGTTCTCCCACAAAAGCACACCCTCACCAACACCTCCCCGACTACTGCTTTCTGGAAAGCAGTAAAAAACGGCTACATGGGAAAAAAACAGTCGGTGGGGGTGGCAGTTTCTTGATTGCTGTTGACCCCCCGGCCCCCTGCAAAAAGTTTCACTTTTTGGGACTTTAGTGGAAAACCCCTTGATTTCCCAAAAGGTTCAAGTCTAAAGATCCAACCCACTAGGGGTGGCAGTTTGTTCTGATTCAGAAAATCCACTCTTCGACGCTGCTCGGAGCTGCCGAAAACGCTTCACGCTTCTTCGCCCGCCTGAAGCTGCTGCTGGATCTCGCGACATTGGCGCTCCAACATGTTCACCTGAGCAAAGGCGACCCTTTGTTAGAGGGGAACGAAAGGCGCCTGGCATCTTCTGGGCCCTCCAGATTTGAGAGGTGCTCGAATAAGGGTACCCGACTTTTTCCGGTGTTGTCTATTTTAGTAGGGGAACCCTCCCCCCAAAAAGGGGCGAGAGGTCGGGCACTGGGGCACCTCGTCTTGTTTTGAGACATACTCAGTGACTCTTTCAGGCTAAAGAAAGAGAGAGAATTTGAAAACCCGACCAACCCAACCAACCCACCCCCCAAAACGGTTGAGCCCCCACGGTTTTGCCAACTGCTTGCATGGCTTCCAGCAGAGTTGGATGGCGTTCAAAGGGAAGCAACGGAACCCATCCGTGTTTTTTGGGCTGCCCTAGTTTTGGACATTCCCAGAAAGAAACCGACCCCAAAAATCCAAACAAGGAGCGACCGTTTGGTGGACATCATTTTACGTGACATCTTTTACACCAAAAATATAGGAGAGGTTCCCGTGTATCACAGAAAACAGGGAGACCCAGAAATAACAGGTGAAGCCTTTGGCGCTAAAAATGGTTGCCCGAACTTGAAACCCAGAAGGTCAAAAGGTCGATTCGCCCTGGCACCCCTTATGAACCAGCTTTGCGAGCGCGCTCCCTTTGCATCGCTATCGCCAGGGAATCCAAATGCGTTACAGTTTCCTGAAAGGGGTTTTAGTTTCCCCATGTGGGGCATGATCTTTTGTGCGATACCCAAACCAGGCCATCCACATGACCATCTTATCACTATTTGGGCAAGTGAGTTCTTTGAAAGACCGCCGATCAGTAGAGCACGCCTGACTGGGCTGCAGCATCTCTCGCGCCAGCGCCGGCCGCGAGCCGAAGCACCGCATCAGGTCCTTCGATTCGATTCGTGTGCGTCGAAATCGGGATATGTTGACACCCACATGGCCATGGGTCATAACCTATGCCTCTATTTTGGGGCGAATGAACACCCATTTACCACCTATTTTGATGTTCACCATGGGTACAGGGTTTTGACCCACAGCCACATGGGTAGGTTTTGTTGTTGGTTCACCTCAAGGGTGAAACGACACCTCAACACGCACACAAACACGCAAACACGCAAACACGCAAACATGCAAAACACAAACACACAAACAAAGCACACAAACACACAAACACACAAACACAAACACACCACCACACAATCAGAACCACAAACAACAACACACAAGCAAAAACACCACTAACACAAGCACACATGCGCACACACAAACATGATAAACACAACGGTAATTACAAACCAAAAACCACAAAAGCGCAAACATAAACACAAACACAAGTGCAAACACAAAGACAAACATCAACTCAACCTGCCACATCCCCACACAAATACAAAACAACACAAACACAGGTACAAGCACAAATGCAAACACAAGCACAATCCCACAAGTACAAGCACAAACACAAACACACAAACACGCCACACACGCCACACTCACAGACACAGCGCACACACACACACATGCACCTGGAAACGAAGCCCCTGCCCGATGGGTCCCCTGTAAAAAGTGGCCCAGGGGAATCACTTGAGGTGGGATTCGATGGGAACGGGCCTGGCAGTAGTTCCGAGGTTTCAAGCTGGGAATTGGCTTGGGGAGTCATCCCTTGGGGGGCTTGTTTTAGAGATATAATTTAGAAGGATGTGGAAGACCTTAGAATAATGTGATTTAGAAGGACATAGAAGGATTTAGAATGAGATGATTCAGAGATATGATTTAGAGATAAGATTCAGGCCGAAAAACCTCATCTCCGAGGGACTCTTTGCTTGAAGACTCAGCTTGGACGCTTTAAACGGCCCTTGATTCATACGCGGCCGGCATATCCCAAGTTGCTCAGCCCCCAATGCTGCTGCAACGCTACCCGCAAAGGGATGTTTGTCAAGGTGCGCGCAAATTTGGGAGCTGCACTCAAATTGGAACAACCAGAGATTCTGCCAGGACATCATTCCTCTCTTCCGCGCCGAACAGCTCCGCAATTACAAAAAAAAACATGATGTGAGTGATACTAGGATGCTGCACACCTTGTCTTTTTCTGGGCTGTCCTCAGATCCCCCGCTAAAAGTGTAACTTTTAGTGGGTCAAATGGAAACTACCACTAAACACAAAAGGCTAAAAGGCTAAGGGGGCATGGCTGGGAGCCACCAAGTTTTGAGTGCAAGCTGGAACCTACCCGTGGCTCCGATATCATGCAATCTGGACAGGCAAGGCTCTGGCTCGGACAATGGGGCAATCGTTAAGATCCGCCCTACGAGGATGGATCTCCGACTGGAGCTTTACGGGTCAACACATGAGACCGATTTGAGGCTCACGGGGAAAACCAAAAACGACCACAGCTCGCATTGAATACGTCTTGTTGGAGTTTGTCGTCAACGTGTTGCTTTTCATTCTGTGCATTCACCCTTTCCTCTTGTGAATCTGGCAGGGAGAGAGTAGCGGAGCGAAGAGATAGTGCATCGAAGACTGGATCATACACGCCCAGTGTCAACAGATTCATCCAAAGGGTTTAATCATGTTTAATCCTTGACATGGTGTTGTCGGCCAATTTTTAAAGGTTGCCGTGCGCCAGCTAAGCGAAATCTCTCCGATAGGTGAGCTTTTGATCGCTGACATGGCTGTGGGTCAAAAATAGGTACCCAAAATTGAACCCTGCAAGTGGTAACATGGACTAAAACCTGCGGTCCCCTGGTGGTTTAATTTTGACCCATATCCACATACGTTGTGTAGAAGTCTATTCAATATCTGCCCTCTGTGCGCTATGGAAGCTGAGCGCGCAGAAAGTTCGGAGGCTTGGAGCTCCGTGCTGCTGAGCATCGTTCTCCATCTGCTCAGGGATATGCTGGATGCTGGCAAAGTCCGCCGCGCCTAAGCCAAAAACAACTGCACCGGCGCTGCACCGGCCAGCCGATGGGCAGCTGAGTCACCCACCAACTCAAAGCAATGGCACGCCGCCAACTGGTGGTGGGATACATCTTTGGCAACCCTGTGCTCGTTTTTCGGACCGCGATGGACTGCCCTAATTGCGGTATAAACACCAGAGTTGTTTCAGACCAAAGGGCCTGAGGCAAGGTGGCCGGTTTCCAAACATAGGTGTCCTTTTTTGGAAAATCGATGGCCCTGGTAGATGATTGATCCGCCAGAAAAACCAGGAATCGCCCTCCTTTTTGGCCACACTGACCAAAACTCAGTTGCCCAAAGGACCTCGAAATAAAAGGTTAACCTGTTGGGGCAATGACTAAATATGGACCAAAACGGCAAAACCAAAAAGGTCAAAAGGTCGGCTTAACTGACCAAAAAGGACACCAATGGTTCCAAACTGCCGCCCAGGGCGCCCATAAAGGATTTCAGCCTCGAGATGCCCCGCTGGCCCCGCACCAGCCGGCCCTTGAACTCCTCTAGCAGGCCCTGCAGCCTTGCGCCGCCGGGAGTCCTTCCTCCCTCTCTGCTCCCCAAACGATGGCCTTTTGCGGGGGGTCCAGGCCTTTTTCCAACCCTTGGTGTGAAAAAACTTGCCTTCAGCTGTGAAGAGTAACCCAGAAAGTCTGATGTCATGTTGGATTTGCTGTGGACGTCCTGCCAGTTTTGCCCTGCCATCAAGGCGCAAGCCTCCGCTGAGCACCTCTCTAAGGCCTTTCTAAGTGCTCAGGGCTTACCAAGCGCGCGTCAAAGCGCTGCATTAACCGAGCAGGCACTCTGGCCGGTTGTTTTTGGCTGAGGGGGGGGGGAATAGCTGTCATGTCCTGGAAAGGAAATGACAGTTTGATTTGTATGGACTCCATTCAAGTCCTTCCAGGATTCCAAGCTGGCCAAGGCGTGTTTCAATTCAATGATAAAATGTTAGGGAAGCTGTCCCCGCCGCATTCCTCCAAGCCCTCAAACATATCGTTTTGCCACAAAAAAGCCCAGTTGCAGGAACCCCAGGCTAGGGCTCCATATGCTTTTAAGCATTAACCCAGGCGAACCGCGAACCTTTGATGACTGTTTGCTGACTTTGGGCATAGAGAACAAACTTCATCAAAGAGGGCTTCTACGCTTGTTTGGGGTGCCTTACTTTTCTCAAAACGGGGGACAAAAGGCCAGTCCTGGCTTGAGCATCGCAAGTGTCATGCCTTGCCAATGGCAGCTTTCGCGAAGGAGTGGCATGCATGGGCCAGCTGTGCTGTGTCTGACGGTTTGCCCACACTACCTCTTTCCCCAATGTCAAGACTTTGTATTCCAAACCGCACGCGGCCAGTGGGCTTGTGCACATATGAGCCCATGACTTGCTAGTGGCTCACTTGGGTAGTCACGCCCCTTTCGAAGGCAGGAGGGAAGATTCGGTCGTCCGGTAATCCCTCCGAGCCATTGACTGCTCGCATTTTCACGACCACGAGAAACCTGAAAGATATAAGGGGCTGAATAGTTAGAATCCGGTCCTGGGGCACTTGGAAACCCATGTTCGTCGTGAATATGGTGCTATACCATTGGTCATTCTTTCGACCCCATTTTACCTGCAATATATAGGGCAAACCTTGAGCCTTGCTTTTCCAACACATTCTTAGGATAATGGAAAAACCTCTGAACCTCGAAGTAATCACATAGATCTGCACTAACAATGCGTCGCCAAGGGGGATCCCCAAACCTGCTGGTTCCCCTTGCAACCAACCTTTTGAAGTGGCACACACAAAACAAGGCCCAGCGGTATCTCCAAAAGCCCCCCCCCCCCCCCGAAGCGCTGGAGCCGAATCGCTTATCTGGGAGGCCCTAAGCTGTCTGGGCAAAAACACGCCGGATGGAACAGAAACCATTGGCAACTAGTTCCTCCAGACAGCTTAGAATAAGGGTACCCTTTTTGCTGTAGTCTATCTTAGTAGGGGAACCCTCCCCCAAAAAAGTGGTGAGAAAGGGCAATACTGGGGGATCTAGGCAAGGACCAAAATCACCCTCGCCTGTGATGACGCGCCAGGGTTGCGTGCCGCTCCTCTTCCAGCTTGGTGGAGATGATCTGAATCGTTCTCTCCTGCGATTTCAAGGGCCCCCTTTTGTCACGTCGGAGTTTTTTTTCGGGAAATCTGCCCGGGGACAGTCCGGGGGTTGACTGGGGTCACCAAAACCCGGGAAAAAGGGCACTCTGGGAGAAAAAAAGGACCAGGGTCACTGGGCAACTGGGGGAAATATGTGCAGCGGTGCTTCCAACAACCTCCCTTGGCTTCCGGAAGAAAAGAAGAAGAGGAAAAACGGCCGTGTCTGATTGCGCAAACAACATTTGCCTGGCCTTGGTCTCTGATCAGACAAGTTTCGGTCAGATCACCCCATTTCCACTTGGTCTGAGGTTGGTCTCTGATCAGACCGCTCTTCTCCGTTTTGGTGTGACCGACCAAGCTACTTTCGCTCCGTTTTGGTTTCGCTCCGTTTGGGTCTAGCATGTTCGCTTTGTGTTGGTCTGCCCAGAATTGTTATTGTTGTTCTGTTTTGGTTTGATCAGACCAGTTTTGGTTCGTTTTGGTCTGATCAGTCAAGTTTCGCTCCGTTTTGGTCTGATCAGACCAGTGTCCGCCGCTCTGTTTTGGTCTGATCAGACCAGTTTAGACCATGTTCGTTCCCTTTAAGTCAGATCAAACCAGTGGTCTGGTTTGGTCTGATCAGACCACTTTCGCTCCGCTCTAATCAGACCATGTTTGTTCCCTTAAAATCCGGCCAAACCATTTTCCTGATCAGACTATGTTCGTTTTGTTTTAGTTTGGTCTGACCATTTTCGATCAGTTTTGGTCTGATCAGACGTTTGCTCTGATCAGAACAGCTTTGGTCGGATCAAAACAGTTTTGGTCTGGTCAAGCCATTTTCGGTCCGCTTTGGTCTTGATAAGACCAAATTTGTCCGAAATAAGTGTGCAAAGTTTTGAAAATGCTAACCAATAAGAGTGCAAAGGATTAAACATAAGGTACTAAGGTACTAAGTTTTGAATATGGTCAGATCAGACCAACTTGGTCTGATCAGACCAAGACAAACCAAAAATGGTCCGATCAGACCATAACGGAGCAGAGATGGTCTGCTCAGACAAAACTGAAACAAACATGTGGTCAAACCAAAATTAGTCCAAACCAGTCTAATCAAATTCCAAAACATACCAAAGTAAAATGGTGTGATCAGACCCAAAATGACAGAAGTTGGCCGGAGCAGGGACCAAACTGGTCTGATCGTTTCACCGAAACGGGTCTGATCAAACCAAAACGGAACGAACATGGTCTCAGACCAAAACGGAGAAAACATAGAACCGGTCTGCCAAAAGCTGGACCCAGATCAGACCAAAACGGGTCTGAGTCAGACCAAACCGACCAAAACGGACCAAAATCAGACCTTTCGGATCACCAAAATCAGTCTGATCAAACCAAAAACAGACCAGACCAAAGCTGGTCCGATGACAAAAACAAAGGCACCCAACAAACTGATTACCTGATACTAATTAACAAAAAGTCAGCCATCTAAAAGGGGTCACCAAGCAGCCACCGAGTTTTGCCAAACTCACCATCGCACCATCATTCTCAGTCATGGGTCTCACAGAAGGCTGTCCGGTGTATCCGGACGTATTCCAAACAGTTTTTTTGGTGTCAGCCTGAAACTTTGTACAGCCATGTACAGCCTTGCTTTTGCCGGGCCAAGCAAACCTGTGCACACATATCCACTCCTTATTTGTTGGTCGGACTTAAGCCAGACCTCGTGCAATTTAAGAGTACCATATCAAATTGACATAGCCACTATTGCCCGTAGGGAGAAAACAAGCTGACAAAAAAACCAAACAAATCAGCATGATGGGCATTGAAGCGGACTCCTGCGAGTACTTGAGGTCGGCCAGCATCTCATCGAGGTTTTCCACACCTAGCGGAAAAGTTGTGGAAGAAATCCTCCAAGTACAAGAACACAAATGCGTGTGCACGTGTGTGTGTGTGTGGGTGTGTGTGTGTGGGTGTGTCCAAGTTGCGAGATTTGGAGCGAGTAAATCGCAGCTTTCCTTATTTTGCTTCCCCTTTAGCCACCTCAAAAAAGCTGCCGTCAATATAGACACACCCATACGAGCTGATTCCCATGACTACTTTGTCACTTGCAAGGACATCGCACTGGTATGCCACAAAGCCTCTGGGGCCGTTGACAACATCTCTATGCACCCCCTTTGCTCCAACTCTTGTCGCCGAATCAACTTCTTCGCACCCATTGCAATGGATGAAGTTCTGGGACGAAGCACAACTCCCAACTGGTAAGCGCCATCCACATGGGATAGAGTGTCGGGTTGTCTCTGCATAAGCGAGGCTGAAAATTGGAGCTGGGTTCTTTGGTTTCCCTTCAAGCGGCCCCACGCTTGAATATCAGTGTCATGCTTTTAGTTTCCCTTTCAAGCCAGCACCGCAAAATGTGGTATTCCTCTTCAAACGACCCAACATCGGAAAACTTGTATGAACTACTTCGGTTTCCATTTTTAAACGACACAACACCGGAAAACTGCTTCCGCTCAATCGACACAACACTGGAAAGCGTGTGATGAATTCTTTGTTGTGATCCTTTTAACCGTCCCAACATTGAAAACTTGGGATGCATTCTTCGGTGTTCCTCTCAAACGTCCCAACATCGGAACGCTTGTGATGAATTCTTCTGTTTTCTTTTCGAACGTCCCAACATCGGCAGTTTTGTGACACATTCTCCCCTTCTCGCTTCAAACGTCCCAACTTCGGACAACTTGTGATGAATTATTTGGCTATTTTGCCTTGCAACGCCCCGAGCAACCTTTCAACCGTCCCAAAATCCGGATTAAAAAAAAAAAAAAAACCAAAAAAAAAACTTGCCATGAACTCCTCGGTGTTCCTTTCACACGCCTTCTTTCTGGGCTACCCTCCAAGCCCTCGGCACGGCCTTTCTCCAGGATCTCCAGCGAAGTCTTCGGCGCGGTGGGCTCCTATCGGAGAGATCCCCTTCCGACTTGGTTGCTCAAAGGGATGGGGACACAGGGCTGTGGGAAATGGAATCCACTTCTGTGATACAACAAAAAGGGGAGATTCCCTTACGGAAGCGGGGAAAAAACCCTTCCCACAACCCTGGATGGGGATACATGGCCATGGGTCAAAAAGCCAAAACCGGAAACCCCCAGTGAACATTTCAATCCAACCACTAAAATAGTTCTAAAATGGGTGGTGAATTCACCAACCCCAACATGGGATGCCATTGGTTTTGACCCACAGCCACATGGATGACACTTTAAAGGTTCTTTGCCAAAAAGATGACCAAGGTTGATCAAAAGGTCGCGAACACCAAAACGATGAGACTTCCCACTAAATTGGACAAGTAAGCCTTGGCCACTTGGGGTCCAGCATTACTGATCACCCCCCAATTCCCGCCCGCCTGACTCGATGTTCCAGCCCTAATCACTGGCATCCGCCCCGAGCTTACCACAGCCACCCCCTCAAGAGGTCCGCTGGCTTTTTGCGGGTTTTCCGCGCCGGAATCACCGCGTCAAGCAAACCAACATGATCCGCTCTACGGGGCACAGTCCAATGAGGAACCAGCCTGTCTACATATGGCTGTGGTTGTCAAAACCCAGGAAACCCCTGGTGAACATAGGTGGCAAATGGATGTTCATCCACCCCAAAATGGAGCCATAGGTTATGCCCCATGGCTAAATGCCCGAGTTCGGGTTCCAATTTCGCCACAATCTCGGCCACGGCCAGCCAGTCAGAGAGTGAAACAGATCGGCCAACTGGCGCCGTTTTACGCCCCATGCAAAGTTCATGTGCGGAAGCTGTCAGCCACTTAGAGTGAAATCTAAGGGAGAGTGCTCCGCGTGGTTACCCTCTGTAAGCATGAAAGTACCCAACACCCCGCCTGAAAAAGAAAAACGGCTGTCTTCCGAGGCACGCTCATGCAGGAGGGAGGTGGTACCCCCGAATCGGTCAGATTGCTTGCCTTGAAGCATGCTTGGTGGAAGGATATTTGCCTGAAGTTCAATCCTGAAACGGGTATTTTTGCCCCGGCCTGTGTCCTGGCCCGCCGCTCTTGCTTGCGCATGCCCACCAGCAGACCTTAGTCCCAGATGGCACGAGGTACCCTCCTGCCCACTAACATGGAACCCACCAGAGGGTGCCTTTCAAAGGAAAACAGTCTTCCAGGATCCCCCCGGCAAGTTCCAAGTTAGTGGACGGGAAGGTAAAGTTAAACATTTGCTTTGGGGCCTGGATTCTACCTGCTCTGTCTGCAATCGAGTGCACTGTCACTGCCCACACTCTTCTGCAAGAGGATGGCAGATTGCTCCAGAGTCTCCTCATTTTTCCTGAGGCAGTGGCACAAAGTACTGCTCACGTACGTGTCAATAGAGATTCAGCTCTCCATGGGTCAAACGAACCTATCCAAATGCTGAAGTGAACCTCGGGGTCGTGTAGAAAGGTATCCAAGTGAAGGCAATCCTGTGGCTTCCAAAAACCTCCTCGCTGCGAGCCCGTCATCCTGCCATTGAGCTCACCAATTTTTAGGGAAGCTTCGGGCGGGTGGAAGAGCTTTTGAGTCAACCCCCAAAATGCACCACCCCTGAATAATGCGCCATCAGGTTCCTGGTTCAGGCCTCGCGCTCAGCCCGATGCTTCAGAGCCAGTGCGGCCAAGCATCTGCATGACATTGAAACCTCGGGGCAAAGGTGCAAACAAAAGCTGTGCCAAATGTCTAGGGCTACCTTCCATTTCCATTCTTTCCAGGGATCCGAATCTTTTCAGGAAACCATCCAAAACCCGGGGAAACAGCTGGTTTTTGAAAAGAACGATGGTTGAACAAAAATGGGGAGGCCCCTAAAAATGGGGGACTGAAGTTGGAGGACCCGTCTGGATTGTGGCTAGGAAACCAAAAGAAACACATTTCAACCCCGCTCCAAAATCCCAAGTAAATCTCAAGTACTGTCCAAAAAGCAGTTTTTTTGTTGGGGGGGGGGGGGGTGCTGGTTGTGGGTTCCTTGCAGGAAACACCGAAATCTGAACTCCTGGCAGCATCCTAACACAAAATCCAATTCCAACGGCATGGATGGCTACGCATGTTACAAGGCACACCCTCAAACAATTGTTCGGACGTTTAATACGTGGCAAATTGTGCCCACTACCTGCAACTACTGTTTTTGTTTACCATCATGAGCCAAGGGCAAAGAAGTAAGATGCTCCCAAAGCTTGACCAGGACGAAAGAGTCCAGAAGTAGACTTCTCATCTTTCGAGATGTTTTGTTTTGCTCAGGCCGCTGTTGCCGATGATTTTCACCGCGTCAGGCAAGTCAAGCACAGGCTGCTCCAGGCGATCCTGCAAGCCCAGGTGTCCAGAATGGGCTTGCGGGGTTGCGGGGTACAGCACTGGTAGACCAATTATTTATCTCATTGCTTTTGGAAGAATCATCAATCTTGCCCTATTCTGCTATTCGATGTTAATTTGCCCTTACAATATTGTCGATCAAATACGAAGGGTCTTTAAAACTCCCTTCAAAGCGGCTAGTGTCAGCTACAAGTGTCCCCTGCTTGATTCATAGTCCGAACTAATGTCGGATGGCTTGCAATCCTGTTGGATCTACCCGAGTAAGGCTCCCACAGGCTTGCGATAGGGCGTATCGGGGGTGCCAGCCAAAATCCTAGAAGGCCTCTGGGTATTTGTCAGAATAGTGACTATGTGGCACCCGCAGTCGGTGTCCTTTTTAGCCTCCCTTTAAACCAAATGTAGGGGTACAGTAAACAACGCAATGAGGCAATTGGCCACGAAAGGAAGCACTTTCGAAACCAGCTGAGTTTGAGTGGGTGATAATCACAAAAACAAGTGAGTGTCCCCTCTGCAAAACCATCACCCCCCTCAAGGGAAACTCGATTAACATCAAACATTCGTGACCCCTTCCTTGCCTTTTCACCCCTCTTTCAACCAAGGGTCCCCCTTCAGGGATGGTTTTCACTAGGCTGGGTCTTAGCTTTCCTCAAAATAAGGTTTCAAGGATGTTTCAAGGTACTCTCTGACCCTTTCTGACGTGGTCGCCGAAAATAAACGCCTTTCCGTGATACCAAAGTGCATGACCTTGCACGGGATTCCGTTGGCATCATACAAAGTCAGTTCCCACCATGCTGACGAGGAATCTGTATCTCGCTCCCTCGCCGGCCTTGGCATACTCTACAGTCTTCCGGAGCAAATACTCAGCGTTCCTCAGCCCAGCTTTCTTCGCAAAATCCCAGCGCCCGAACATCACGAATCAAGTACTTTGATCCATCAAAATCGAGCCTATCCGAAATACAGGCGAAATCGATGCGCGATTGTGCTATGGTCTTGGGGACTTGGTATATCTCGTCTTACACGTCTGACCTGCTCATTTCCAATCGCCAAATCAAGAAGACGCAAACATCACGTTGAAGTCCGCCTACTTGACGCTAGACCTGGAACGTTAAATGGTTGCACTAGATAGGGACGTTCTAGCTGAACCCCTTCTGGCACAATGTCTGAGACGAACCTGACGCCAAATAACCAACCAACGCCAACATGTCTAACGTCACCGGCTACAAATGACAGAAAATACAGATCCTTACTCATACGTTGTTGCTCAAACCGCTTCTACAGGCAGAGTTTTTGCGGGTGCTTCCGTTCCTTCACACTGAGACCCCTACACAGGAGTCTCCGCCAGCCCCCGGCTGCAAAGGGCGCCAACGTGTGGGAAAAAAAACTCAGCCCGATGCAAACATGTATCCAAGCAGCCCACGAGTTACATTTACATGAACCACAAACGGCAAAACCACTGAGCTCGGGTCTGTCTTGACATTTTCTCCTTCTCGAAGGCCTTCTTCAAGGACAACGCCGTCACCGTCTTCTGTGGGTGGGCCGGGTAGTCCTCAGGCCCCGCCGATTAGAACCAGGTGGCAAATCCCAGTGGCCGCACCAACCTAAGCCAACGGACGCTCAAATTCGCGCTTGCAAATTGATTGTCATACGGCCTGTCCCTGGCCGAATTGGTCATCCGCATAATTTTCAGCTTGCAAAGGCTCTTGCCTGTTCACCTGGAAAGCGTGCCTTTGCTTTGACTCCATTTTTTGATCTTAAATCTGCGTGTTCCATGTTGCATGCTGCAAATTGATTTGTGTGGTCATGTTCCATGTCAAAAGTGCTCCATTCAGCTTGCGACATTCCGAGACAGCATAACTTGTTTTTCTGTGTGTGTGTGTGTGTTCAAGTGGTCAGCCTACATGCGGGAATCACTGGGACAAGCGCTTTCTGACAAACATCGTTCCGTTCTTCCAATAGTTTGGTCGACACATTCCAAGGCATGACGGCTATGGTGATAAGTAGGACACACAAATGAAGCTTGACGGTGTTCTGATACAGCAGCGTGGCATCAAATCTAGTTTGAGTAATTACTGTACAAAAACCAACAAATCACCAAGGCGGTGAATCAGCACTCGGAGGAGCGTCTTCCACACACACAAACGCACACCGACACACACTTAAACTCCAAATGGAGAGTGCTAATCTTTCGAGTACAACTGATGAGTCTCGAGTACAACTGATAAGTCTCGAGTATGATGAGGTTCGACTCGCATAACGCTTGGCTTCCCTGTAGTTACTTTAACAGGGACACACAGAAGCAACGGCAGTTCAGGGGGGGACCAAAAGGACATTCAGAACAACACAACCATCTCGGCAGGTACGTCTGACTGATCAGGTCAGATATCAGCGCAGGTCACGACCCTCTTCGTTGGGTCACCGGTCGTGACTGCGGGTGACCCCCCTGCTGAGAAACCGAAAGGGTGGTGACAGGGCATTCTGTCACTCCGCACACACACGCCCCTCAATGAGGGGCGAGAAGTCTCCTTTTCCGCAGGAAGATCACATGCTCAACCCCGTGTCCCTATCGTTGACCAAAAAATCCACCGCGGCGAGGGGAACGAGAAACAGCCCTAAACCGCTCAGAAGACGGGAACGAGAGATCACCACGTTGAGCATTACGAGTGTCGCCATAGAGGACTGAAGCGAGTTGTGAAGCAGTCGAGCGATCACCATGAGAAAACGGAGTAGCATAGGTGAACGTCTCCTCAACTGGAATGGCATCGGAATTCCGAACTTCACCAAGAGATTGATCATGCGAATGATGAGTTGTGAAGGACTCCATTCGAGACAGAATGCGCTGGTATCCCTGATGCTGCCAGTCGCGGATGGTCCATGCCTGACCGTGCTCACCAGTGCGCCCATTGGGATCAGTCACCCGCTGCCATTCCCGAAAAGAATTGTCTGGTAGATCAGGTACAGTTTCTCCGTGGTGCCATCGCTGAGGCTGTCCTGCAGTGTAGATCCGCACCCACTCCTGATCCTGCCAGACCGAGTATTCGAGCCATGGGTGCTGCTTCGAATCCTCGATGTCCATGTCGAAGTAAGAGGCAAGGCGTATCGCGGGCTCCGATCCAGCTGATAGAGGAACAGGCACCATGCACAACCATGTACAAGCAACAACCAAGCAAGGTAATGCAAGTGTGGAAACCACCCTTATTTTGTATGCTACCCCACTCGCGTGCGTCTAGTCCTCATTTAGCTCGAAGATAGGTCTCGCCTTGGCTTTGCAGCTGTCGGGAGGATTAACAGGCCGGTATGGGTCGGAGACCCCAACAGTCTCCGATGGTGTGATTCCACGTGATGCACGTACAGGTTGATGAAGTTGGGAAGCGTGACGTGCGCGAGCTGTCAGTTGTTGAGAAATCCCCTCTTGGAGACGAGTCAGTTCTTCGGTAGAGAAATCCGCCGCATCCGAGGATCTAAGGATCGCTTCTAACATCTGCGGTGACATACTCAATGCCGCGGATTGCGTGGCCACGCTGTGATGATCAGGAAAAGACATAGAATCAAAGTCATGACCAGCTTGAGGGGCAGCGACTCTCCGATAGCCCTCTGTGGCCCAGTCTCTTTTGTACCACATGGTGACATTGAGCTGCTCACCGTCTTGGTCCGGGTTGGGAGCATAGAACTCCCTCCACTCTCTATACGTGTGCGGTGGAGGTGGAGCATCATGTTCTTCATGTGGAGTCCATGATCCCGGATGAAAGATCTTGACCCACTGGGCATCTGGTTGTTGAGGATCCGGACACCATTCCAGCCACGGCATGACAACGCAAACCCGGAAAGACAAATTGATAGGTACGGCTGCAGACAACAATTACTGAAAGAGACACAACTACCACAGTGCAAGAAATCACTTTTGCAGCAATGCACGGCTCCGGTATCGAAGTCAATCTCCCGAATCGAATTGAACTGAACAGACTCCCCAGGAAGGCGAGGATGAGCATCAGCCACCATCCGAGTTGGAGGATGCCGATGAAGAGGTCAATCCAGCGTACATGAGGTCCGGTGCGCCCGAAGCGAAAACTGGCCGCGCAATGCTAGGGTGTGGGCGACCCAGCCGTTGGTATCCCCTGGTGACCCAGTCTCTATAATGCCAAGTATAGAAGGATGCATAAGATACCGGCTGCGAAACAGCACCTGTATTGGTGCCGCCTGTGCTATCCCTCGGCCAATACACTTCGAAGTGGTAAACCTTGCGCCATTCCCGATAGGTGGTTGAGTCATCCGGGGCTGGTCCCAAGGTGTTCTCGGCGACTGGATGCCACGGACCCGGTACATAGATCCGAATCCATTCTACACTCGTATTCGCGGGGCCATTGACGATGTCGTAGTCAAAGTAGCGAGGCAGGACCCATCGTGCTGCGCTATACATTGTACAATTGAACATATCAACCAGGAAAACCGCTCAGAGTCAAATGAAAGCGGCGAACAACTGGAGACGGAACGCACAACACCAAGCAAGACAACTCAACATGGAATCGCACACAAAGCAAGCACAACCGCGTCATTTTATCCGACATGTTGCTCAAGTATCACTCCGAATCGTTCCAAGGATCATAGAATGGTGGTGGTGACGGCTCTCGCCACGCCCCATCCGGAACCGATGAGTCCACCGAGGAATTGGCGTCTGCATTCACGAGCATCGCGAGTCCAATGGCTGGTAAAGGAGCTCCAAGTCGTTGATACCCTCGTGTTTGCCAGTCTCGGTACTCCCACACGTGGTAGGACACATACGAACTGGGCGTGACAATGGGATCCGCTGTTGTTCCTCCGGTGCTGTCTTCGGACCAGTACACTTGGAAGCGATATGACCTGCGCCACTCCCGATACGTGGAAGCGTAGACCGGGGCGAGCACTGGAGCATCATCGGGAACGGGTCGCCACGTGCCCGGTGAGTAAATTCGAATCCATTCCACTCCTCTCTCGATCTGGTACTCGAAATATTGAGGGTTCATAGCGGCAAGACAGGCTATCGCGCGGCCGCTAAAAGCAATCGAAAATCTGCGGCGAAGACACACATGCAATGACAACCGCGCGCAGCTGAAGTGTCAACCAAAGCAATGCAAGGCAACTTTTCAAACTCAAGGTGAGACACAGCAGCGAGGTTTGTAATATACGACTTATACGACGCCTAAGCTTCACCGCCGTTGATGCCGCGCACACCTGCAATGATAATGTCCTGGTCGTCTACGAGCACAAGGGGAAAGACATTTCCGCCCATGGCGCAGGAAGGCATGACAGTAATGCTTGCAATTTGCCGATGGGGACAGCGATGGACGGTCAGCACGTTTGGAGGGGAACACGGTAAAGGGCCGCCGAGATCTCCGCGGTGCAGAAGCGGATGCTGTCCGAGATCGTTTGGATGAACGCCCTGGACTGCGTAGCTCTTCATCACGGGAATTGTCAGTGCTGTAGATCGATCGGCGTGTGCGCTGCGATTTCGATGTGGCAGGGCAGGATTGTCCGCGAGGAGCTGAGATCGAGGGGCTCCGTACTGAGGGCATAAACTGTGGGTGTAGAATCACCGGTGGTGGTGGCGGTGGAGGAGGCGGAGGTGGAAGAAGCAGTGGGAAACTTGGTGGGGGCGGAGGTGACGTAGTCTGCCGAATGGGTCTGTCAAGCAGGGCACCAGGTCCGTGAAACTGTAACCACGTCGGCTGCGCTCCATGGGTCCAAGTAATGTACGTCTGTACGACTTGTTCCGACATGATTTGAGCAACTCAGTCATGCATTCAATTCACGTCAGCGGCAACACCCACAACGGCACGCAATATTACCCTGGTAAAATGCCAGTCAAGTGCAAGCAAGCAAATTTCATGTGATCAATAATGACTGCAATCCGAACCGTCGCAACAACCTGCAGCGCTAACCGAACACACCGCCACGGCCTACCATTTAGTCCTCCAGTGGTCGCTGTTGCATTTGATGACCGGGTTCCTAGCCGCGAGCCTCAAGTTGCTGATAGACCTTCCATGCCTGCTTGACTTCCTCAATGGGCTTCTGAAGGAACCGAGCAATGGTTTTGTAGGTGGGCCTGGAATCCTTGTCTTTCTTCCGTCGCACCATCTCATCCAGCTCACCCTGTGTCCATGCCGTGAAAGGTTCACGGTGTGCATTGCGAAGTGCAATGGTGAATTCTTGTAGAAGTTCCCGAGGTCCATGAACCACCGTAGGAGACGGTCGGAACGACGAGGCACCTGGATGTGGACGCACTGAACCATCAGAATCCGAGTCAGGTGTCGTAGGCGTCATCTGTCCCGGTTCTCGTCCGCCGTGTGGGGCTAAGGGAGCAAGCGGCCGTGGTGGTGGCAGGTGATCCAACATCGATTCAGGCCGACGACCAGAATTGTTGTCAGCGGCATCCCGATGTGCCGCACGAGGCGGGGATAAGGCCGGTATATACCAGGTGGATGAAGTGTCCAAAGGTCGGGTTCGAATTCGAGCGGGAGAGCGGGATCGGTCAGACGAAATGCGCTCTGGGATGATGCGAGGGCGCAGCCCGTGCCTGGAGTTCCGTGGTGCCCTGGGAGACACTCTAGTGTCTGACGGATGGCTTCGCTCGGTCATCAGGGCAAAGTTCAGGGTGTCCAGAGCTGTCGCAACTTGGGATGCAAGGACATTGAGTACCGCCACCACTTGAAGGAGCTGCGTCGCCATGGAATCTAATGACTTGTTGCCGTTGAGCCGGGACGGGTGATTGGCCCACTTGACCAGTGACGTCAAAGTTGTGGTTGTGGGCGATTGCTTGAGATAAAGGCGTGGCTGGTCACTGGTCCATGTGTAGTACTTGACAACTTCTTCCGGCGTGCTGTGCATGGTGAGCAATTGTGACGCCGCCGGCTTGGACGGCGGTGAAGACACTCCGTGAAGAGACTGAATGATCCGGGGTTGCACCGCGCTATCAAACGACTTGCCATCAAGGGCCGCTGCGCTGACTGTAGGGAGGGAGCTGGCAGGTGACGAGGATTGTGTGTGGTTGACCGGTGGCGGTGTAACCAACTCTGCATCATCTTTCTGGCTTGCCATCGTGGGAGAGGTCGAAGTGCGCAGCGATGCTGAATACTGAGCCTGGA